CATACATATAGTCTTTTATTCTGTCATCGTAGAGAAGTTCTATCCGACTCGAGCAGGCTGAATTGTTGCTTAAGTGTAGTTTGCTTGTAGGTGTTGCTCTAATGTCTGGTAATGAGACCTGGACCCATGAGATGGATCATCTGTTAAAGTGTCATGCTTAGCAAACATAGGCGTTTGAAGTGCTAAGTCTAATTCGTTTTGTTCTATTATTTACAGAGGTGTTGAAGTTTGCAGATTACCCTTTGCCATTGTGAGATCTATTGTTTTTTGAAGCTGAAGTGAGCAATTCTCAGAATCTTGAGCACATTTGACAACAACTCCTCATTCACATGAAATGTCACTGCTTAGTAGATTCTTCTACAAGAGGCCTCCCGATGGACTACTGGAGTTCATTGACAGGATCTATGGTAAGCTTCTGAAGTGTTGTTACTCTTTTTTTTTATATTGATCACCTCATTTGTTTTATTGATTCATTATTTTGTATTCCAATTAATTTGGTATCTTATGCCATATTGCAGTTTTTGATTCATGCTTCTGCACTGAAGTTTTGCCGCATGGAATGTACCCAGTCTATTTGAATGGAATTCTTACAGAGTTGCATGAAGAGCATGCAGAATCTCAATTTCTGGCGATTAACTTCAGAGATGGGGATAAGAGAAGCCAGCTTGCTGATATCCTACATGAATATGATATTCCAGTAATTGACTACCCACGTCATTTTGAAGGCTGTCCAGTGCTTCCTCTATCTCTTATACAGCATTTTCTTCGTGTCTGTGAACACTGGCTATCTACTGGGAACAGCCAAAATATCGTACTACTCCATTGTGAGAGAGGGGGCTGGCCATCATTGGCATTTCTGCTATCTTGTTTTCTTATTTTCAAGAAGTTGCACAGTGCAGAACATAGAACTCTGGACATTGTTCACCGTGAGGCCCCTAAAGGGTTCCTACAGCTATTTTCTGCACTCAACCCAATGCCGTCTCAGCTTCGATATATGCAGTATGTAGCCAGAAGAAATATCTCTCCAGAGTGGCCTCCTATGGAGCGGGCGCTCTCTTTGGATTGTCTGATCCTTCGAGCTATTCCAAATTTTGATTCTGATAATGGATGTAGGCCATTGATCCGAATTTTCGGTCGAAATCTTCTTGGCAAGAATGCTAGCATGACTGACATGATTTTTTCAATGCCTAAGAAGAAGTCCTTGCGCCACTATCGACAGGTAGGTGATAATTAGAATCACATGAAGTTCTTGTTTGCTTTCTTAATTTATTTTTATTTTGCATCAATCTGCATTGTTTTCATGCAGGAGGACTGTGATGTGATAAAAATTGATATCCAGTGTCCAGTCCAGGGAGATGTTGTTCTGGAGTGCGTACATCTTGATCTTGATCCAGGAAAGGAAGTTATGATGTTCCGGATAATGTTCAATACTGCTTTTATCCGTTCAAATGTACTGATGCTGAATAGTGATGATGTTGATATACTCTGGGGTTCAAAAGATCGGTACCCGAAGAATTTTAGAGCAGAGGTAAGAGCAATGCACGTACTCATTTGAATTTTTCAGGCAAGAAATCAATTACTGATGCAGATTTGGAAGTGCAGGTACTGTTTTGTGAAATTGGGGGCATTTCTCCTCCAAGGGCTCCAACAGTAACATTGAATGGTGATATGAAAGGTGGTTTACCAATTGAAGCCTTTTCAGCTGTTCAAGAACTCTTCAATGATGTTGAATGGATGGAAAGCGGTGACAATGCTGCTTTTTGGTTGCTCAAAGAATTCTCAGCAAACTCTCTGCAAGATAAATTTCAAAAGCTAATACTCAGCGACATGAAAGAGCTTTCGAAGTTCCAAGCTAAAGTTGGCCTCCAGATGCCACCAATGTCTCCACTGGATTCTGATGAAGAAAAATATTCTGCGGCTTCTGATTCCGGTTATTCAGTAGATTATGAGAAGGTTCAACATGGTGGGAACTCATCTGACTCAGAGAACATTGATCGTTCTCTTACCACTGAAGATTCTGAATCTATTGGTACATCTATTTACACAAGTTATTTTTCTTGTTGAACTTTATTGCCATGTTCAATTATTTAGGGAATACGCCCTTCGAAGAAAACTTCTGTTGCTGGACCTGGTGTTTTCATGCTCTACATTCTCTCCCTTTTTCCCATCATCTTAATTAAACTCTGATTTATAACTATCACAATTTGTGCAGCTACTTCCTCAGCGAACACTTCATCTCCTCCTCCACATGGTAGATCTTGTGGCCTTTCAACTGAACAAAGTCTGCTGTCAGGAGAATTACAGCACGAGTTAACTAGCTGGCAGCCGCCACCACTATCAGCAGAAAATGGCGACAAACATGCTATCTCGGCACAGGTGTCACCACCAGCAGCAGCAAATGGAAGCAAACCTATTATCTCGGCGCCGCCGCCGCCACCACCACCACCACCACCAAGTAGCTGCAAACCTGTTTTCTCACCACCGCCACCACCACCACCGCCGCCGCCGCCGCCAAGTGGCAGCAAACCTGTTT